ACTGAAAATAAAACAACTGGCGGAGCAATAAAATGAAGTCGTAAGAGAAAGGACTAGGTGAAGGGGTGACAAGGATATGTTTCAGGGCACTCAAACAATGGGCAACTTTTAACTGAATGTGTAGCCAAAGGCTTTTATTCCCCAGCTTACCTGATATTGCGGGAGAGGGTGGAGGGGGCACTCATTCATGCACAGTAGCCAAAATGATGATACCCAAACTTCTATATGGGACTCGGGTGAAGGTCTCTCCAGGTTTCCTCAGCTTGGTTGGTGATATGATTTGGCTCTGTGTTCCCACCCAAATCTCAGGTTGGATTATAATCCTCAGTGTTGGGGGAGGGACCTGGTGTGAGGTGATTTGATGATGTGGGCAGTTTTCCCTTTTGTTGTTCTTGTGATAGTGATTGAGTTCTCATGAGATCTGGTTGTTTGAAAGTATGTAGCATTTCTCTCTCTCTCTCTCCCCCTCTCTCTCTCTCTCTCTCTCTCTCCTGCTGCCCATGTGAAGGTGTACTTGTTTCCCCTTTGCCTCTGCCATGATTGTAAGTTTCTGGAGGCCTCCCCAGCCATGCTTCCTGTACAGCCTGTGGAACTGTGAACCAATTAAACCTCTTTTCTTTATAAATTACTGAGTCTCAGGTAGGTCTCTATACCAATGTGAGAACAGACTAATACAGGTGGGTTGGCTGCCACACAGGGGTGGCATGGACCAGTAACCCACCAGACTGCTGGTCAGAATGGTGGGTCTCACATGAGACAGCAGCACTATGGCCACTTGCTTATCTGCTCAGGTCTACCACCTGCTAGGGAAAATGATGGCTCTGAAAAGAGCCTTTGGTTAGTGTTACAGCTCTGTAGTGTTAGTTGCTCTTTATTGTTACAGCTTTAGTGTCATAGCTCTTTCAGCTTCATCATCTCTCACCATCTCTCCACTTGCCTCACCGACTGCCATCTCTTGTCATTGTCTCTTACCAATTACCACCTCTCAGCTGATCACTGATTGTCACCAACTCCGTTGTCTTGGGATCTCACATCTCCATCGATTGCTGACATTTTCACTGTCTTTGTACCTCCGTTGGTTGCCAGATGATGCAGGACAGTTGAACCTCAAAACTGGAGCTTAGCCAGGGAAGGTTCTTGGCAAGCCAGTGGTGTTAGATAGCAACTTTTACAGAAGCAGCAGCACACAGGAGCAGCATAGGTACTACTCCTTGTAGAGCAGGAATACCCCATAGGCAGTGTGCCCACAGTAGCAGTTCAGACACAGTTCTACAGTAGTATTTATACTCACTTTTAATTATATGCGAATTAAGGGGCAGATTATGCAGATATTTCTAGAAGAAGGGTGGTAACTTCCAGGTGTTGTCATGGAATGGTAAACTGACATGGCACATTGGTAGGCATCTCTTATGGAAAGCTACTTCCACCCTGTCCCTGTTTTGGCTAGTCCTTAATTTGGTCCGGTGTCTGACCCCGACTTACAGAGTCAAGTCTCACTTCCTATCTCGTATACTTAGGATAACAGCCTCTAGCTCTATCCATGTAGCTGCAAAGGACATGAACTTCTCAAGATCACTAATCATTAGAGAAATACAAATGAAAAACAGTGAGATACCATCTGATACCAGTCAGAATAGCTATTAATTTAAAAATCAAAAAATAACATGCTGGTAAGTTTGAGGAGAGAAGAGAACACTTATACACTGCTGGTGGCAATGTAAATTATTTCAGCCATTGTGGAAAGCAGTTTGGAGATTTTTCAAAGAACTGAAACAACACTACCATTCGACCCAGCCATCCCATTCCTGGATATATACCCAAAGGAATATAAATCATTCTACTATAAAGACATATGTGTGTGTATGTTTATCACAGCACTGTTCACAATACAAAGACGTAGAATCAACCCAGGTGCTCATTAGAGGTGACTGAATAAAGAAAATGTGAGACGTATACACTATGGAATACTATGCAGCCATAAAAAAGAAGTTTATGTCCTTTGCAGCAACATGGATAGAGCTAGAGGACATTATCCTAAGGAAATTAATGCAGAAACAGAAAAATAAATGATACATGTTTTCACTTACAAGTAGGAGCTAAACAATGAGTATACATGGACACAAATAATGAAACAATAGACACCAGGGCCTACTTGAGGATGGAGTGTAGAAGGAGGATTGAAAAACTACTTTTGGGTACTACACTCATTATCTGAGTGATGAAATAATCTGTACACCAAACCTTCACAGCCTGCAATTTACCCATGTAACAAATGTGCACATGTACCCCTTGAATCTAAACTAAAAGCTGGAAAGAAAAATAATTACTCCTCAGAAGATGGCAAGGATAGAATTTGTAAAGTCTGTTATACAGTTCATAACAAGGTATGCTTAGCAGAATCATCTGTGCATGTTTTTGAAAATATAGTACTTGAGTCCCTAGCAACAAAGATTCTGACACAGCAAGTCTAGGATGACATTTGTGTTTTAAAAACCATCTAAGGAAAGACACTCAAAGTAAATAAAATTCTTGGAGCTCCTACAAGAAGGTTTTTCTAATCTGAGTGAAATGAAAAAGTAAAAAAGATTACTGTTTCTTTCTACTCCAACTCCCCTCCTCTTCTTGGTTATGTGATTGATGCCAGCATGTTGGAGAGCAAGCTAAGAGGGAAGTTGATTTGGAATTACATTTAGTTTGATTGTAGCTGGATAATTTACTCATGTGTTTCTTAATCTCATGTGTAATTAAGCAATTACCAGTGAGATTTCACAAGGTAGCAAGTGGAAGCTCTAAGATTCAAACTAGGGTTGTCAGACCCTAATGATAATAAGCCTAACACTACGTTCTCTTGTCTTTCAAATGCTTAGGAAACCATTGAAAAATCTCAGGCCTCACTTTAAAAGCATGGGGGTCTATCATTGGGCTGCTGGCAGCATTTGATACTATTTCCTACTTCCTACTTGATTTTTTTTAAGTCTTAGTTCTCACTGCTGCCTAATAAGTAAGTACCATATGATTAATTAAAAATTGACTACTGGCCGTTTTTTTTTTTTTTTTTTTTCACACTAACCATGCCTGTGGCTTTGCCCAATCACATCTACATTAGTTCTTATTAATTTCATGAATGATTTGGCATGAAATACTGACACTGACTAAAATACATGAAACACAAAATATACTACTACAATGAGGACATTAACATTACACTGATTTGTGTATGCCATTGAGAATACTTAAGATTAGTATCTGGACAAGAAAACTCTAGATGTTCTGAAACCTTAAACCCATATAGGAAAGAAACTTGACAGAAGTTGACAGCAGTTTCCTCAAATTTGGCAAATCTAAAAATTTACCCATCGCCAATGATAAGTTGTAAAGCTGAAACTTTTTTTTATCAATAATAACTTTAAAATTGACCATGCCAAAGGAAAAATATGTTATTATAAAAATGTCATATGAAGAAAAGATCAAAATTTTTGTAGCCAAAAGTTGTAGGGAAAAAAATCACTGTAGAGGTATGCCAGGCAGTTGATTAAGACAATGTTATTTTTCTGGAAGTTGTTTTTTAAAAAATATGTCAATTGTTCAATTTTGCAATTTGTGATGATTTCTCATAATAAGTAAATATTAACTTTTGTATATAGTTGTTTGAAATGACCATACTTTTTAATATTCTTTTTCTAAGAGTTCTCCAAATTATAAATTTCAGTACCCACAACCTGGATCTGTCCCTGAGGTCATAAGAACTAGGAACTTTTGAGTTACAATTGGAAAGGGTTAATAGGGATGTGGATGTAGTTGAGAATTGGGAAATATAGTAATTGTGGAAGTTGAATTAATATAATTTTTAAAGACCACATTATGACCATCTACTGAAATCTGAAAATCAAAGTTGTCCTCTTTACTGTGGGATTATGTGACCTCAGTGTCTGACTTCATGGAAAAGCCTCACACACACATAGGGGCCCCTCATAAGGGGAGCCTCCAGCTGTTCTGTAGATTTCAAACACCCAAAATAGTGGCTGCCTAGAGGTTCTATATTTGTATTATCATTAAGCAGCAAAAACAGTTGGCTGGGTTATTTACCCACATGCACACTTGAATCTACCTCCTGCTTCCCAAATGAAAATAAATAGCTCTCTTCTATTTTCTAGTGACAAACAGGATGTAGGCTATTAGTAATAATAGTAACGTTAATAACAATAACTATAAGTAACAGAACATACAAATATTGAAAGGAATTGGTGAAAACCTCTCTCACTTTCATCCGCAGTCTCATTTCCTGAGCCCAATTTCAGCGTCTGGACAGAACTCCCAGGGAACTGGTAAACTTCAGGGTCTTGAGGGAGGGGAGGTGGAGAATGTAGAGACAGCAGAGGAAAAAAGAAGACAGGATAGATTAACTCTAAAAGGCTGATTCTCCCTGATAATTTGAGAAAGGCGAATAAATACTCCAGGAAGACGATACTCTTTCAGGTTTTCAAGTTGGGCTGGGGATGCGCAACCCGGCTCCTGCTGAAGTGCTGATGGGAGAGTTAATTAGGGATCCGAGCTCACTGTTAACACACGGGCCTCACTGGACAAAGGGCTGACGTGAATTGAAGTCAGTATGTAGTTGAGTTCTCTTTCCATCCTGAGCAATACCTCCCTATTGCATTAGAGGCAGGCGGGGGCACTTCATGACGCTAAACAAAAAAGGAGACTACTGTTGGTTGCGGATCTGAAAAGGTTTTAATAAGCAAAGGCTATTAGAAGGTGAAGGAGAAGATCATAGCGGGTCCAAGACTGCATTGCTTATGCCCCTTTCCGGCCCCTACTCCGATTTATTTTAGGGGAAAAAAAAATGGTGGGCTTGTGAGGAGGGATCTGGGATGGGGATGGCGGTCGGGTTTGGGTATCGGGCCCCTATTGTATTGAAAGTAAGCTGGTTTCTCGCCCAGGGAAAGAGGAAGAGAAAAATATCCTGGCTCGCCGCAAGTCGGTGTGAGGGTAAGAATCACCTGCAAACCTCTGGAACGGAAAAAGGACACGGCAGCGGGTCTGGTACTGCAGTTCCCACAGCCACGCCCCCTGCCCATTTTGATTCAGAAAATGGTGGGCTGTGGGGAATGCTGGGGAGATGAGCAGAAACCCTGCGTGGGTGCTAGCTTCCTATTGCAGAGGATGTGGGAGTTTTGAGTGAAAGATGGAGAAAGAGGTAAGCACCCGGGATCCCTGAAGGTGGGCGTGAGAGTGGTGGGTGGGGGCGGGTGCGTTTCCGAAACTGCATTACCCACACTCCTGCCCCGCCTCCTCATTCCCTTTTGGGAAAAAAGAAAATCTCAGCGGCTTAACACAACAAACGTTTATTTCTAGCTCAAAATAAATGCCCAACATGTGTTGGTGAAGGTGGGGGGTGAAAGAGCCCTGGTCCCCAGTCTCTCAGGACCTCAGGCTGACAGAAGCTCTACAGTCTGGAACATCGCAATGGCAGGGGGAGAGAGTAATGGAAATCTCTCATCACACTGCAAGTCTAGAAGTAACATGTTACTGTGGTTCACAGCTGATTAGCCAAAACTATCATATGGTCTCATCTCACAGCAAGCGGATAGAGGGACTAGGGGACTAGAAAGGATTGTTTTCTCTGTAGGGTGGGTGTAAAGTGAGAAAAATAAACTATAATAAAATATTCATAAGAATTCAAGGGGAGAATGCCTTTCTAAAGTACTAAAACAAAACAAAAAATTAAAAGTTCTAAAGAAAAAATCGCAAGTTTAATATAAGAAAATTAAGCTCCTATGGAGCAAAGCAAGAATGAATGTGCCCTTTGCTTTTGGTTTTCTCTGTGATGCCATTTTCAGAGCTCTTCGTGTTTCTAGACCATTCTTCAAGGCCGATGGCAGCCTGATGGGTGTTAGTCAAGCTGGAATTCTCACTGGAGTGAGATCAGGTTCCAGGCTCACTGGAACTAGTTTTATAAGAGAGGATAAATCCATCCCCCTAACCCTCAGAGTGGTGGTGCTTAGGCAGGATGTGGAAGGGCTCACTCAGGCCGCATTCCCCTCTGGGGTGGGTCTGACTTTGCTTTCTCTGCTCCAGCCTGCAGCGGGCACAGGGCCCTCTTAGGCTAATGGCGAAGCTGCTCTGGACAGACATACCTGGAGGAGGATGACTGACTGCTCTATTGTAGGACAGAGCACTTTGCCTTTCCCTCCTCTTCCCTTTCTCTTTTGGGGAATATTTTGTAGGGGAGGAGATAAAGCCCCAAAGTGTCCTGGCAGGAAACATCCATTAGGATAGTCTTTGAGCAAACAGATGTCTGAGCAAATCTGACCAGGTCACTTGGGGCTGAAGTAGAAGGGGCTGACCCTTCTCTCAGAGTCCAGGGAAGTAGCCCCAAAGACGACTGGGGCAAAAATGGGGTTAGACAGCACATAAAACCTCACCCATCCCTCTCCCACCCACCTTGCTCAGACTCCCAGAGGGGCCTCGTTGTGCCCTGGCCTGTTTGGTTGGTTCTGCAAGGACTTTAGCTCTGTGTCTGCCTGGTGCAGTACATCTGATGTCTGAGTTACCCCAGGCCCTGAAGTACAGGAGACCCTAGGTAAAGGGAACTTGCAAAGACATGTGGTCTTACAACTCAGGAGAAAAGGGGTGTCATCTCCTATCTGAAAATCTCCATGCACTGCAGGCCCAGCTCAAGACTTGGGAGCCAGGACAGTCAAGCTGTGAATTAGTGTGAAGATGCTTTTTAAGGCACTGGTGGTGGAGGGCCAGCAGCATCCACAGCCTGCTTCTGTGGGCCCCTCACCACCACCCTACCTACAAAGAAGGCTGGTATCTCAGCTCATATCCAAGCAGTGACTTATCTGGCCAATTCCAGAGCAGAAAGCATGGAACATCCAGAACCTTGGAGAGAGAGTTCCGTGCTAACCAGGATCCCCCTGCTCTTAGGAGAAAGTGCAAAAGAGTGTGAGCCCCTCTGGTGAGGCAGTGTAGAAGGGATCAGGCTCAGGCTTCTTGGAAAATGTTCAGGCTTCAGTCAGCAGAAGGTAAGTGGATGGCAAGGAAACAGTCACTGAATCTACCCTTACATTCTTGATTTGTGCTAAGGACATAGTTTCCCCAGACTGCTCCCACACCATGACTTAGCACAGCTGAGCCACTAGAGCCATGCCATTTCTGCTCAATGGGAGGATCTTTTAATCTTTGCTTGTACTCCCCATTGGCGTTGTCCAGAGTTTCTCAAATGCACTGAAGTCTGAGACTCTTCCTACCTAATTCTTCCTTCCCTCTGCTTTCATATATGTGACATGTGGATCACAGTCTAAAAGCTCTCCCCATCTTCTCTTGCTCTTTCTCCCTTTATCTATCATAAGCGTTTTTTTTTCCCAGTAAATCTCTTTATGTCTAATCTTGTTTTGGCATCAGCTTTTAGGAGGGCCTGTTATACAGTCAGGGTGCTTTCACAGATGAGATCTCAAGTTTCACATTTCTCAAAAACTGCTCCTTTTCAGAGAGCCAGGATAGTACAGTAGCTAAGAGTTGTCAAGAGTAGTCACTAACTGGGTTCAAATCCCAGATCTGCCACTCTTAGCTGTGCGTTCTTGGCCTCTGTGCCTCTTTTGTAAAATGGGGATAATTCCATTACTTCCTCTTAGGGTTGTTGTGAGGTTTACATAAATTATTACACAGACCATTTAGTGTCAACACATGGTAAGTAATAAATATCAGCTGGTTTTTGTTTGTTTGTTTGTTTTTTACCATCCGTCTCTGATAGTTGAAGTCAGAGAAGGGGGAAAGATCTTGCCAAGTCCAGTAGCTATTGAAGGGTTTGGCATGGGAACTCTTATTCTAAAGTTCTGGAGCTTTAAGTACATATACTTTATTGATTCTTAACCTAGAAACTAAAATTAAGTTTCAGGAAAACACATGAAACAGTTAAATAGCTTGATTGTTGTCGTACCCTACTTTCAACTTCATTGAATGGGTAACTCCCAAAATGAAAATGTTGTGATGATATTGTTCCTTTTCCTGTAGGAACCATCAGACAGCTCATTCTGGAATACAGAAACGACACTGAAGATCATACCTGTGATTTCCCCTTCTTGTTATTACATTTGCAAATTTTTTTATAAAGCAGAGAATGTCAAAGGCATAACTTTCAAGGAAGGGAGGAGGCAGAGTAGGAAGGGAGCTAATATTTGTTTGAATGTCCACTATGGGCCAGATGAAGTGTTTCTTGTTTTGAGTTGGTTCTCTCTTTAATTCCCATAATTCTGTAGGTAGGTAGAATTGTTTTCTACCAAGATAGGTAGCAGTATCTTCCCTAAACGAAGAAGAAACAGAACTCAGAGGTTGAGTATATATTCCGAGGCCCTAAATCTAGTAAGTTACAGAGCTTGGATTTCAACCCAGGTTTATCACACTCCAAAACCCAC